TTACGAGACGGACACGAATGTAATCTAAAGGGAAGTGGCCACGTGGGATCGACACGGCGCTCTCTCGATCAAATGGAAAATGTTTCGCTTTCACGGTTGCCCGAAATGCACCGAAACACCAAGTTAAGTCGTTCTGTTTATTTCGATGGCTGCTGCCTGGACTCTGCCGGCTGCTCTCGCTTGGCCAACGAGTGCCGAGAGAAGAAATGTGATTTCCACCCCCTCTTCTCTCCCCGAACGAGGTATAAAGCTTTCGCGTTCATGGCGGTATCCCTTCTAATAGATCGTTCGTGATAACAGAAGAGCTTCCATTCAACCAAGGAGAACTATTTAATACGCGACGGCGACGACAACGGGAATATTTTCCGACTAGAAGAGGATATCTTGTCCACGGTAAGAGGAGACATGGCATCTGAAAATGTCGAAAGTTATATTGCGCGATGCGGTGCGCGCACGTCAGAAACAGCACCTTAGAGTCCGCCTGTAAGGGTTCAACTGCGTTGCAGTGATTGCGAGGACACAAACATATGCCAGAAACCGGCGGCGAGCTTAGCGAATGAGACTGGGAACGTGACAATATACAGACAATGGTAATAACGTCGGACATTCGTGACTATCTATTGTTGTGTGTCTCGGTTGTTGGAATTCTCCACTGCGAGGAGTATCTATCCTGTTCTCTCAGCGAAAATTCTCGGCGAAATTACGGCGGTGGGCGTACAAATTGACGTTTGGTTTTGGCGACATTCAAAAGTTTTCGGAAAAAAAGAGGCAGAAAGGAGGAAAGGGGCTTCTAATTAGATTAATACAGATCAACCGATAATTGAAATTGTATCTCTCTGGATAAATTCACCATCAGATACATCAGATCAATATTTGGGGACACATTAGCGAAGAGATTAGCGATATAGTATTACATAGATGACATACGGGAACAATAATATACCCGACAGCGGCGGATAATGATATCGAATATCGCGCAGATGCATCGTTTCCCAAACCCGCATAGCGTAAGCATTCCCCCAACCAGTGATATAATTCCATGTCTCTCTTTCTCTCTCTCTCTCTCTCTCTCTCTCTCTCTCTCTCTTTTATCTTGTACTTTTCATACCATTCGAACGAAATTAGTACTAGCTGCGATAGTATAGCTAAGAGCAGCGAGTAATAGTCGGCAAGTATCGATCGCGCAAAATGTGATTAACCGCTTGATGGCTACCATTATGGGTCTCCGAATTTGCATGAAACTCCAATCAATAATTCAGAAGTTCGATTAAAGCGTAATCAGAAGACAATTTTTCAGCGCGATGACATCGCGCTTCAGCTACCCGCGCGGCGCACGACTCCCGCCACGCTTAACGCGTAAAAGGCGATAATAATCGTAACGCTGGTTTACGATCGCGCGGCTATATAATTATTATCTACCGCTGTTCAACGGCAAAACAAAGCAGGGGAGGGAGAGAGAGAGAGAGAGAGAGAGAGAGAGAGAGAGAGAGAGAGAGAGAGAGAGAGAGAGAGA